GGGGGAGAGGGGGAGACAGAGACAGATGGAGACAGATGGAGACAGATAGGGACAGATGGGGACAGACAGACAGATAGACAGACAGGCAGGCAGGCAGGCAGGCAGGCAGGCAGGCTGGCAGGCAGACAGACAGACAGACAGACAGATAGACAGACAGAGAGACAGAGAGGGACAGACAGGCAGACAGACAGACAGACAGACAGACAGACAGACAGACAGAGAGTGGGAAAGAGACAGACAGACAGACAGGCAGATAGATAGACAGAGGCAAACAGAGACAGAGATAGACACACAGAGAGAAGAAACTGAGACTAATAGAGAAAAAGACCGAAAAAGAGAGAAAAATAAAAAGGAAAAATGAAGACCCAGGGCGAGAGAGACGGGGGGCGGGAAAAAAAGCAGAGCAAGAGAAAGAGAGAAAGAGAAAGAGGTTAAGAGAGCGAGCGAGAGCAAGGCCGCCCCCCCTCCCCCCCTCCCCCCACCAGAGCCTTTCCTCTCCCACGCCTGACCTCTCTCTCTGTTCTTCCTTCTCCCTCGTACCGTTGGTCTCAGAGCCACTTTTTATAGGTTTTAAATGCGCCGTGTGTTGTCCTTAATTATATTTAGCTTGGTGTTGTTTTCTCGTATTTTTCTATATATTTTTGTTTTTGTTTTGTTTTGTTTTTTTGTTTCAGTTCCTGTGATGTGTCTTTCGTTGTGTTCTGTGTCTGTGATTTTTTTTTTTTGTGGTTATTTCCTCTCGTGTTCTGTGGAGCCTGTATTGTTCTTGGATTTTATTTTTCTTTCTTTTTTTTTCTTTTTTTTGTTCGTCATGCATTCTTTGGCTTGTGTACACTTCCACCTCTTGCTTGCCTGCTGTCTGCTGCCCTTCGCGCGCCATCTGCCACCTTCTGCTTACCCTTTCTGCTTCGTTTTAGTAATTCGTAACACTTGCAGATAGTTGTTTAGTATTCTGTCAGTTGGTTTGTGTTATTTGCGGTCTTTTCCTCCGTCGAAATCGTGTTTATAACGTGTTTGGGTTCCATCTGTTTTACTATTAGAGGTTTAATGCAATTAGGTACCCTCATCAATGTTTATTCTACTTTTTTTCTGTTTATTTGTCTATGTCTGTCCATCTGTCGGTGTGTGTGTGTATTTATATAGCGGTCTGGTATTATGTCTGTCTCTAATATCTGTTTCTGTCTCTCTGCCTGTATGTCTTTCTGTCTGAATCTCTCTCTCTCTCTCTCTCTCTCTCTCTCTCTCTCTCTCTCTCTCTCTCTCTCTCTCTCTCTCTCTCTCTCTCTCTCTCTCTCTCTCTCTCTCTCTCGTCTCTCTCTCTCTCTCTCTCTCTCTCTCTCTCTCTCTCTCTCTCTCTCTCTCTCTGTCTCTCTCTCTCTCTGTCTCTCTCTCTCTCTCTCTCTCTCTCTCTCTCTCTCTCTCTCTCTCTCTCTCTCTCTCTCTCTCTCTCTCTCTCTCTCTCTCTATGTGTGTGTCTCTGTCTCTCTCTCTCTCTCTCTCTCTCTCTCTCTCTCTCTCTCTCTCTCTCTCTCTCTCTCTCTCTCTCTCTCTCTCTCTCTCTCTCTCTCTCCTCCCTCCCTCCCTCCCTCTCTCTCTGTGTGTCTCTGTCTCTCTCTCTCTCTGTCTGTCTGTCTGTCTCTCTCTCTCTCTCTCTCTCTGTCTCTGTCTCTCTCTCTCTCTCTCTCTCTCTCTCTCTCTCTCTCTCTCTCTCTCTCTCTCTCTCTCTCTCTCTCTCTCTCTCTCTCTCTCTCTATCCCGTTCTCCCACATTCGAAATACCACCCTTTAAACCAGCGCGCTCTATTTAACACCCATCACCTTCACTGCACACAAACAATCACAATCTAACACTAACACCTAACCCCCTCTCTCTCTTTCTCCGCAAATCACCCTCGCCACACTTTTAACACCCTAACACCATTATCAAACACAGGATACCACAATTTAACACTTCCTCATACAATTTAACACAATCTAACACTACCTAACACATTTTAACACAATCAAACACCATCTAACACAATCAAACACCATCTAACACATTTTAACACAATCAAACACCATCTAACACCATCCAACACCACCTAACACCATCTATCACATTTTAACACAACCTAACACCTAATCCCCTCTCTCTTTCTCTCTCCACAGGTCACCCTCGCCACCGCCTCCTCGTGTCGACGTGTGGAGACGCCGAAGCAATGGCAGCTGCTTACTTCGGTTCCCCTACTTTATGTCTCCCTGTTACCACGGATCAGAAACTTGCTTCGGACGCCCTCAAAAAGATTGGTATGTTGGTATTAGAAGGTGGGAGATTGGTTGGTATGGTGGAATTAGAGGGTGGAGATTGGTTGGTATGGTGGTATTAGAGGGTGGAGGTTGGGTGGTATGGGGGTATTAAGGGGTTGAAATATTGGTATGGTAGTATTGTAGGGTGGATAGTGGTATATTGGCATGAAAGGGTAGAGACTGGTATGTTGGTATGAGAGACTGCAGATTGG